ACTCTTACTGTCTGGGGGCAGTACCTAACCTAAATCCTAAATCCTGGACCCTACAGAGCCACCAGGTCTCGTGGCAAGTGAAGGTCACCACGTGGGCACAGGAATCCTTATGTTAGTTCGCTTACAAGATGACCGAAAAACACAAATGACTGGAATCGTAAAAGTAAGCCGCAACGAACAGGATATCGCGATTAGTAGCAATCCGAAAAACGGTGAAAGGCATCAGCAATAAAGACTGATCCAAAAAATCTCATAGTGATCACCAGAATCATCACTATCGGTAATGCTGTCCTTCCTACTAACGTTCAGTCAACCCTACAATCAATCAACCAAATACAAGCCCTGTAGTGCAGAGAATTGCTAACATCCACTGCTGAACTGACTTACGACTTACTTTCAAGATACAACGACTTCCAACTCATAACGAAAAATCCTGAGCTCCGGTCGCTTCAAGGCGTGAATACGGCTCAGTGTTCAGAGTTTAAACCTTATGCCGCAAGAACCCCAAGCCCTAAACCCTTACCTTAAACGAGTAGTTCTTGAGATCTCCGAACCATGTTAGTTCTTGAGATCTCCGAACCATGTTACTATACTGTATACTATATACTGTATACTAGACTACATACTACATACTACATACTATATACTGTATACTCTATACTCTATACTCTTAACTATATACCATATGCTCTATACTGTATTCTATACTTTCCTATACGATACGATACCAGAAGTGGCCTCGACGAAACTTTTACTATGCCTAAGCCGACGCTGACACAAGCTCCAGAAGGCCGGTCCGCTCAAAATTGATAAACCCTAAACTCCTATAATTCAATTTCCGGCCCTAAACGGAAGCTCAAAGGGCCCTGAAAGAACCCTTAAAGGACTCTTGCAGTTCCCTTTATAGAGCCCTAAAGGGAAGCTTCAAGGGACCCTGAAAGGATCCCGAAAGGAAGGAACCCTTCAACCTCTTATAGCTCACTTAAGGCCTATAGGGAACCTTAAAGGAAGGGAGCCTTCCAGGATGCCTCAAATCTAACCCCTAAACCCCTAAACCCCCCCTAACCCACCCCAAACCCCCCTAAACCCCCAAACCCACCCCAAACCCCCCTAAACCCCCCTAAATCCCCCTAAACCCCTAAACCCCCCTAAACCCCCCTAAACCACCCTAAACCCCCCTAAACCCCCCTAAACCCCCCTAAACCCCCCTAAACCCCTAACCCGAAAGGAACCCCTGGAGAAAGCCCCAAGGGGCCGAAGGGACTGAGGGCCCAGCACGGAGTCCTTGTAGACGCTGTCATCACCGCCTGCATAAGATCCCAGACCCCCTGGAGGATCTAGAAAGTAGATCCCCTAGTTTGGGGCCCGATACTACTAAGGGTAGTTTATAGGAACCCCCATTAAGGGATATCTACTTTTGAAGGTGAGAGGAGCCTTGGGTTCAGAGTTTCGGGTTTAAGGGTTTGAGGGTTCAGGGGTTTAGGGGTTTAAGGTTTCGGGTTTATGGTCTAGGGCTAAGGTGGAGAGCTTGGTTTGGCGTTTTGGGCTTTGTGTTTAGGGTCTTGGGATATGTAAGGTGGGCCTCGCGGCCCAGGGCTTCGTAGCTTAGGTTTCAGTTCGGGTCTTCTGAGTTATGCTGGATGGGCCGGTTTCATGCTCCGAGTTTCCTTAGCAAAAGACCCTAAACCCTAGACCCGAAATCCCTAAACTTCAGAGAACCCCTTTGGAAAGCAAGGAATCGATGCAACAACAGACGATTAGGTTCTGTGGTTTTAGGGGGTGCAGGTCTGGGATTTAAGGTTCGGGTTTAGGCTTTGGGGTTTAGGGTTAAGGGCCCTGTACCAAGAATGCACATCGCCTCCACCCTTCTTTTGCTTCTTCTTCTCGGCGGCCTGCTGAACCTCAGGGTCTGCGGCATGTGCGGCATCCCTTCAAGGAACCTGACCCTGAGAAGCCCTCTGAAGGAACCCTTTAGGGTTTAGGATTCAGGGGTTTAGGGTTTAGGCTTCTGAGAGGGGGTTGGGGATTCTGTTGTGCTAGTTTGATGCGCGCAGACTCCGAGTCTCGAGCGATGCTCGAACCTCCTATTCGGGATTCTTGAGCTCCGTGCCCTGAACCCTTCACAAAGCCAAATAATCGGACAAAAAGTAGCAGTTGATAATAATCTCTGCCATCTCTATCCCTCCTGAAACAACCCCGAACCCAAGAAAACTCCCAAACTCTGAACCCCAAACCCCAAACCCTGAAACCCCAAACCTCTAAACCCGAAACCCCTAAACCCTATAGATCCCTTGAAGGAAGCCCTGTAGTACCCTTTTTAAAGGAACCCCAAACAGTCCCGAAACTCCCACACCCAAAGCTGACACACACCTAAACCGAAACACCCTGCAAGGGCTTTGGGTCCAGGATTTGTTTAAGGTTTCGGGGTTTAGGGTTTAGCATGTAGGGTTTCAGGCTAACCCCCTAAATCCTAAAACCCTAAAACCCTAACTTAGTCGCTGAGTTCATAAGCCCCAAAACGTGTACACTTTCAGTTTTGTAGTGGGTAGTACTATCCCAAGACGTGCAAAGTGTATCCACCCAACTACTAAACCCTAAACCCTAAACCCTAACCCCTAAACCCCTAAACCCTAAACCCGAAAGTAACTACTAAGCTCAAGCTTTAGACTTAGGGCACCCCGAGGGCCCGGGCTCGCACCACCACAGCAGCTCGGGGCTCTGCTGGGCGCCTTCGCCGGAGAGCCGGGGCGTTGCTCTTTATTGGGTTTTCCTTGACGGGGGGAGGTTGGGCTTGAAGGGTTCTTTAAGGTTCAGGGTTTAGGATTTAGGGTTTAGGGTTTAGGGGGGAGAAACCACAGCAACGGCAACAAATCGCATTGAAAGTTCGGGGCCTAAGCGCTTTAGGGTTTAGGTTATAGGGTTCGGGGGCCTAAACCCGAAACCCTGAAGCCTAAACATCCCTAGACCTGAATCTCGCATCCTCGAGCTCCAGGCCCCCCCACGCCCGGCCTGCGCGACGCAGCACACACGGCCAGCACTGTGGCCGATGCTGCCAGGGTGGTCGAAGTGCCTGGAGCTGCTTGGCCACCGGTTTAGGGTTTAGGGTTTAGGGGTTTGGGGGTTTGGGGTTTGGGGTTTAGGGGTTTAAGGGTTTAGGGTTTAGGGGTTTAGGGTATGCGCAACGTTGTGCTTTGCAGCTTTGCATGTTCGTGTTAACTTGCAATGGGCCTGCTGGTAGGATATTCGACTACAAGGGAATCGAGAAGAAACAATCTGAGCCCTCAAGTGCGCCTTTCTCCGGGACCTCGTGCACTCTAGGCGCTGGCTTCGTGACCAACCTGCATGGCGCGCAGGAGTTGGAGTTTCGGATGCTCCGGCTCCTGAGTCTCCTTCTGGGAGCCTCTTCGTGTCTCGCGATGTCGGCATACCATAAGGTACAAGCCAGAAAGTTGGAATATGATTATCGTAACCCCTTTAAGGTAAATTATAGGGTATCCTACCATTAATCCAATGCTTCACGCTTGTTGAGGGAAGGGTAGAGTCTTGCGAGTTACGGCTCTGACCCGTCACGACAAGCCCTGTCACAAATGTCACAACCAGACAGGGCTTAAAGCTGAGATCGAGCTATGGGTCAAGCAACAGCCCCAAGATCTCAGCATATTTGGTATACCGCATTCCGGTGTAGGGTTTAAGCTTGTATCCTTCCCACCTCCCAAATGGCTTTAGGGCTCGGCAGCCTCGGAACCCGCAACCCCGAAGACGCCTACACAGACAGGCCCGGATCCTTAAACGCTCCCGTCGCCGCCCACATCCTAAACTCTAAGGCCTAAACCGTAAACCCTAAACCCGAAACCCTAAACCCTAAACCCTAAACCCTAAACCCCTAAACCCTAAAGCCTAAACCATAAACCCTAAGGCCTGTAGACCCTAAATCTTGAACCCTGAACCCGGATCCTTCATCCTGAACCCTCCACCCGAAACCCACGAATGCTCACCCCAAAGTGCCTGGTCGCTGCAGGCGCTGGCGCTGAGGCCCCAAGAGCAAAAGCCTGGCTGCTAGCAGCAAGGCTTTGGGTCTAGACGGTTGAGCATCAACCCTAAACCCTAAACCCTAAGCCCTAAACCCTAAACCCTAAACCGTGGCATCCAGGCTTCAAAGTTGTCGGCGGATGGGATCGAAACCGCTGTGTTTGCAGGACTTTGGGCTCAAGGGGGCCTAGGCCTGCAGCTGCAGACCAGAACCCTCCTTGTACCCTCAAATAGGGGTATATGGTCCCAAATTAGGGTCCAATAGAGGGTAGATGAAGGGTCTAGGGAAGCTACTTTTTGACACCGCGGCTTGCACTGCGGAGATGCGTGGCTCGTTGGCACACGTAAGTATTGCAGATAGTCGGTTCCTGAGCAGCCCATAGTAGCCCCGTTATAATAAGGGTAAGTAACCTTTTGCCTACTACTCGGTTTTAATGAGGGGACCCTAAAACAACAAGGGCAAAAGGGTACTACCCAGGAACCCAGGATGTCGCTTGCCCAGCCCTGTGGGACGAAGCGAAGATGGCGGCGGCACAAGCGCCTCTCAGAAAGAAGATTCGTCTCAGCGTCGACTCGCTGAGCTCATTTGGCTGGCGTAGAGCCAGAAAAGGACCGCTACAGTACCTTCGAATTCTTGTGCATCTCCAAGCAAGGACTTTGGGCTCAAGGGGTCTAGGTCTGCAGCTGAAGAACCTGCTCTTTGACGCCCTGATTTTGCAGTGCGGAGCTGCGTGGCTCGTTGACACACGTAAGTATTGCAGATGCTAGGTTCCTGAGTAGCCCCTTGAGAAGAAAGGGCACACTTTTTCCTAAAATTCAATTTTCTTTCAATAAGGGGACCCTGAAACAAAAAGCGCAGAAGGGTACTATTCAGGAACCTAGGATGTCGATTGCCTTCAGAAGCGAAGACGGAAGATTCGTCTCAGCGTCGCTGAGCTCATTTTGTCTGGCATAGAGCCAGGAAAGGACCATTACAGCACCTTCGAAGTCTTATGCACCTCCAAACATATCTTCGAGAGCTTCCGGGCCAAATGCGGCGGTAGAGCCATGCTCTCCTCCAGCACCAATTTTAGGTCTAGGTTTTAGGGTTTAGAGCCCTTGGGGCTTATAGGTTATAGGGTTTAGGCCTTATAAGGTTGAGGGTATATAGGGCTTCGGGCTTATAGGGCTTGGGGTTTAGGCTCCTCGAGTACTGCTTGAGCCCGCTCAATAGTTTGCACCATGACGTCAACATCGTCTGGGACACTGCCCACGTCCGAGAAGCTCGTCTGGAGCATCTTCAGCTCCTGCTGTGGGCTCTAAGTTGCGGTTTAGGGTTTAGGGTTTAGGGGGTCGTGCGGGCTGTAGTGAATCGACAACTCTATGACTTTCTGACGCTGCCATTCCGACACTATTGATAGATGCTACTATACTACCCCTTGTACTCGGATGGTACTGGCTTTGAACCAACCCAGATACATCCAAACTCCCCTAAACCCTAAACCTAAACCCAGCTCCTGCATGAGGACCAGCAGCTGTTGCACTGTCTGGCCTGAAAGCCCGGCAGCCAAACTAGCGTCGAGCCGCTGCGCCACCAAAGCCTGGAGCTCCGTCCCATTCTTCGGGAGCCTCGCCAGGGCACCCAAAAGTCTAGGATTTAGGGCCCAGAAGACGAGGCACTCTTGCAGACAAAGTCGCTTGCTGCAGAAAAAGAAAGTGCTAGACGTATCGCGTACGGTGCTACAGCATACTGTCGTACAGTAGGTCTGGTGCAAATTCGGTGTAATAGAAGGTCATGTAGTATGCTAAGACATGTTCTATTGTGTCCCAGTAAAGCAATGGAAGAACGCCGTACCCCAGGCCCGAACAGCCAGAAACAGGAGACTATAGTATACTACGTGTACTAGAGCGTAGTATAGTATGTTTTAGTATACCAAAGTTTAAAGTAAACTATAGCATACTAAAGTATGCGGTAGTAGGCTCATATAAGCCCTTAAATCTAAACCCTAAACCCTAAACCCTAAACTCTAAACCGGGCTTCAGGAGGGCCCGCTCCTTTGGCACACGTTGTCTTGCAGTAGCTCCTCTCGAGCAACCTCCGCGTCCGCTAAGCTGAGCTTCACCTGTTTCGGGTCCCCATACATGTATAGTCTGCTATAGTCTAGTCTTACTGTAGTATACTAACGTGTACTATACTGTACTATACGATAATATACGATACTATACGAGAATATACTAAGGTAAACTACTTCGCATACTCTAGTCTGTCGTATACGAACCAGAACACTATAACATACTACACTCCACTCTAGTCTCCTTTGAAATTTAGAAAACGAAACAAAAAAATCTGCGGACTCCCACCAAGGCGTTGCTGTCCACGAGTTTCGAGACCTAGTGCATAGAGGGGATTGCATTGAACAATCTCCAAGGGTAAAAGGAGGGACCCTTAATAAGGACCTCTAGGTACATACCTTTGATATAGCTATCGTATACCCATTATATAGCCCATTATAAGGTAGGGGTCCCCATTAAGGGTCCCTCCATTTCCCCTTTTGATTATTGGCTTTAAGTACCCATACCCCCTAAACCCTAAAAGGTTTTAAGTACCCATAACCCTCAGCCGTAAAATGTTACCCAACTATGACAAAGAGACGAGGAGGCCGGCAGAGGGGACCGCCGCAGCCCAGACCTCCTTCAGAGCTTTCCTCACAAGGCGAGCTCTTCTGGGATTTTGCTGTCCATTAAAGGGATCCCATGGTTCCTATAAAGGCTTTAAGCGTTTGGCGTTTAATGGCTTTTGGGATGTTTGGCTTCGGGCGTATTGTGGTGTTTAGGGCTAAGGAGAATTTCGCGTTTAGGGATCAAGATTTTTGGAGGAGTTTGGGGTAGGGTTTTCTTTGGGTTTGGGGTTTAGGGCTTTTTCCACTAGGGTTTGGGAGTCAGGGTATTTTTCCATCCGCTACCTTAACCCCGAATAACCTATCTTTTTTAAAGACCTATATAAAGAATCATAATAAGGAACCCTGAAAAGGTAGGTCATTCAGGGTTGAGGTAGGGTTTGGGGCTCAGGGTTTGGTCACCCATTCGGCTTTGAGGAAAGTAGGAAAGGCCCCGGGCTGATACTGCCAGGACCTTGTTTAGGGATTAGGGTTAGGGTTTGGGGATTAAGGTTTAAGCTCAGTGGGGATTACGGTGCAGGGTTAAGGGGCGACCTTGTTTAAGAATTAGGGGGGATTAGGGTTTAAGGTTGGTGGGGATTAGGGTGTAGGGTTCAGGGTGTAGGGTTCAGGGGCTACCTTGCTTAGGGATATTGAGTCTGCCACATGACAACAAGCCATCATCTCAAGCACATAGAAGCACAGCACGTATCACGTTTTTAAGGTTTAGGGTTCAGGGTTTAGGGTGCCCAAAACCCTAAACCCAAAGCCCTAAATCCCAAAACCCTCATCTTCGGCCAAGTCTCAAGTGCTCCTCTTCGGCTTTCAGGAAGTCCCTGTAGAGCGTCTGCATCTCATCGAAGCGAGCGGAGCAGCCGACGTAGCCGTGAAGCATCTGGGCGTTGCGGGAAACAAGGGACGCTGATACAGTACCCTAAACAGTGAGATTCGTCATTTGAGGGCTCGAATGTAGAACCATAAATCGTGGGACACTTATAAGGACCCCTAATTTTGTACCCCTTCCTCTCACCTTGGCAGCTGCCAGGTAAGTTTTGGCATGGCGAAGGGCTTGGTTCAAGTACTTGTCCAGCGAGGCCCGGAGACTCCACCAGGTGCCGTCCAAGGACACCAGCACTTGCCAAACATCACCAGGGTTTACAGAGCTTAGAGGGTTGATGGGGCTTAGAATGCTGTCGGATTCCAGGAGGCTTTTGCTCTCCGGCCCTCGAAGCAGCTGCTTTTGGCGATTCTTCCACTCCGAGGAACGGTGGCTGTAGACGCCGAGGAGGTTGTTCCGGGAACGGGCCACCTCCTGCATTCTAACTAACTATCAAGGCCCCTATCTTATAGAAACCCTACTACAGATCTCTTATAGACCCCTTTAAGGAAACCTTTAAAGGAACCCCGAGGCTCCTGCATGAGCCTGGCTGCCTCAACTGTGAGCTCACCCACCGCACGGCTCTTCGAAGTCTTGCGACCCCTTGCAAGCACTGCGACGGCGTGTTCTAGCGCGTCGGTCCTGCCGAGCACATACTCCATGCCTTCTTCCATGGAAGAAGAAGCCCCGGCCTCCGAAGCTGTGGCGTTCTTCAGGTTCTCAAGGTTCAAGCGCATATCTAGTAAGAAGTTTCCCAGGGCCCGATGGGAGGCGGTGAGGCCCACCGTGTCCAGCTTTCCTTCCGACAGGAGCTTGCTTACTGTCGCCAAGCGTGAGCTCAGCGAAGCTCGCAGATCCTCAACTTGCAGAGTGGGCTTCTGACTTGTGAACTCATCCAGGCGTTCGGAAAGCACGTCAAGCTTCTGATTCAGAAGGCCTGCATAGTATTCGGTGAGCGCATCGACATTCTGATTCACAACCCGCACAGCTTCTTCGAGGTTCGTCCTCATCGCCGCATTGCCCTGCAGGACAGCATCCTTGACGCAGTGGAGGTCGCACCACAGCCTGGAGAATGCAGCCTGTTGGCCACCGCAATCACTGCTGGACGCGACTGCAAGCTTCTTTTCTTTTGCATACCCGGCGATTTTGAAAGAATTTTGGGTGATTGCGGTGGCCAAATGCGCCCGTGCTTCGCAGAGGCCAGAAGCTGAATGTTTGACACCCGCACCCCCGGGGGCAATAATTTGATTACCAAAGAGTTCACAAATCACGTCTAAACCTTTGCCAACGGAGTTTATGGTCCAGCCCGCAATCGAAACATCGTCGGTGTAGACCGTGGCAAGCGTGTCACGCGCCCCTTGGCGCTTGAAGCAGCCCAGCACCTTGTTGTAGTCGAAGCCAGACTGAAACAAGAGTTCGGTTGGATCCTCGTCCTCGTCCTCGTCCTCCGCAGACCTCTTCGAGACCCAGCTGGCCGCGGGACCGGTCACGTAAGAGCATGGGTTCGAGCTTGGCAAGAACTGGCCCACGGTTTCATAATCGGGTACCAGCACCTTGCACTCGGGAGCCACTTCTTGCGTGCGGCCGACAAAGGTGAGCAAGGTTGGCTTGGGCTTTGCCTTGAGGCTGCCTTTGGCCACAGCTGCCGCCATGCCCTTTGCATCCCCTTGGACGAAGATGCCATCGAAATCGTCGACGGGTACCACAGCCCAATCAGGGCCCTGCAAGGGACCCTCTTGAAGGGGCTCTAGTGCGGAGCTAGGGATGCAGCTGCCGCTGCCCAGACACCAGGCGCCGGTAGAGAAGTTGAAATACAAGGCCATCTTTGGGGGCGGCAGAGCAGGATCGAGAAAGCTGAGCTGCTGCCTGTACGTGAGCCGCCCAGTTCCGTCGCGGGCAACGGGACAATACACGCCATTCTCCACTGAAAACTGCCCCCAGACGCCGGGAAGTCTGTAACCAAGGGGGCGCACAGCCGTGGACAAGGGGACAGTGTAGCAGCAGTGTAGCCTGAAAGAAATAGCTCCTTCGGCGTCAGTCTCATCAATCTGCACACGCTGCAGACCCATTCCACTGCTGGGGCATGCCAAGGGCGCCTCACGGAAGGCTCTGTCGCTGTTCTTGTAGCTTGGGGGGAAGACAGGCTCGCAGGAGCCAAGGGCTGCCATTCTGCTGCACTTGTAGAAGAGAAAGGCGCTCCAAGCCTTCTTTTGCACGTAGCTGATCAGGGAGCCACTGGGACATTCGAGCACGTTGAGGTCTTCCTGCCGCTGCAATGGTGAAGCATGGCGGTCAGCGGTAGCATAGTATTCGGGGACACGATCACACTCCACCACTTCGGGAATTGGGCTCCACCAAAAGCCCAGACAAGAAGTGCAGTAGATCAGGCACTTAGTGGCCAGGCGGTTGGAAATGCACTGCAGCTCCGGATTCCATTGTGCATCTTCACCGTTCTCCTTCCCACAATCCTGAAATCTGTAATGGTTTCTGCCTTTCTCAAACTCGATGCACTTGCCGGGAAAGAGCACAGATTCGAGCCGGGTGCCGTTTTGATACCAGTCGCTGTAGCCTCTTTCACAGGAGCTGCTCCAAGCTAAGTAGGTTCTGTTGACCACAACCACCAAACAGGCGGAGCCGTTCAAAAATCTCATGGTGGGCAGGGCGAAAGTAGACTCAGTTGTGGAGGGTTCGTCAGCCGCAGCTGCAAGATCGCAGCCTTCGAAAGTGGACGCATTCGCCTGGAAGCTGAGGTTGGCCAAGCAGTAGGGTCCACAATCTTTTCCGAAGCTCAAGCGAAACAACGGATGGGAGCTCTGCTGCTCCTCTTGAAGCCTCTTCCCTCCAGAAAGGTTAGTGCCCGACAAGGCGACCTGTTCGTGCAACAAGCCGTCCAGTGCATCCTGGTCAAATCGCTGTGTCAGCTCGTCACTCTCGCAGGGCGATGACGTCAAGTCCCGCTGCGTTGCCGTCAAACACTGTCCGTTAATTTGATTTCGAAGCTGGAAGGTGCCCTGACCGGCGTGGTTGCCATGCCGAGCGGCCCAGACAAATAGATCAACAGCCTGGGGCGCTTTCTCGAGCGCCCCTTGCGGCCAGCCTGTTGCACAAGCCGACACAGGTGATCGCAGCTGCAGCAGGGCCGCGTCCTCAGGCAAAGCTGCGTCCCTTGCTGTGGATCGCATTTGGGCAGGAGACCTCCTTCCCGTCGCTGAGAAGGAGGTGGGGCAAAATCTACCAGCGGCATTCAGCAGCAGCTTCTGAGAGCCCTCGGAGTAGAGACACTGAGACCGGTCGTCAGCTCGGCAAAGAAAGAGTTCCCCTGGACGAGCCTGGCAGCCTACTGCCGTAGTTGTGGGGCACCATAATGGCTGGCACTCCGGGCTGATGACCAAGCTGCCGTTATGACCGCCAAGCCAATTCAAGCAGCCCGCACGCTGAGGCAGAGAAAGTGCTGCACCACCCTCCATGAAGTCCACCTGCACGGAGTCGGGGATGAAGAACTTCTGCAGCGTGCCGTCAAAATTCAGCACCAGCGGCATGAGCTGGTCAATGACAACCTTAAGTGCCAGGCTCGGCACAAAGTAGAGCTCCTGCTTTCTCTCCTCCTGGTACCTGTGGGGAGGGTTTAGGGATTAGGGGTGTAGGGTTTAGCCCTATCGACAGATGTTTAAAGAGAGTTACACCAATTGACCCGGTGCAGACCTGACGTAGTCCGGGGGAACCACTTGCACACAAGCGCCACAGGCAAAGCCGCTCAAGCCCAGCTGCCCTGCCGGGCCCCACCACTTGCCGCCTGCGCAGGAGAGGTTGTAGCTGGGGCTTTGCGTTCCTGGCTGAACAACCGTCACGGCCGTGTAGCGCTCTGCCCAGCACGAGTAGCGGAGCTGACTGCCAGGCGAAAACAGGCGGGGCATGCGGCGTTTCTCGGGCCATGTGTCGCCTTCATGCACCAGCGCATGAGTGCAGCCAAAACACTCCTCCACTCCGAAGCCGCCGAGCAGCAGCTGAAAGTCGCACTGCTCCACCAACCTCGAGAAAAGGCACGGGCTAATCGCGGGGAGAATGCCAGCATCAGCACCGCCAGCGCCAGCATCTTCTTTGCCAGTTTGCAGGAAAGTACGGCGCTTGCTGATGGCCCAGCACTTTGCAGGATCTGCTCGGCGGCACACGTGGCTTCTCAGAATACCTCCTAAGACGCCACTGCTGCCATGCTCCTGGAACAAGGCCTTGCAGTCGCTGTAGAGTCGGCACTGCTCCAAGTTCGCAGCCGAACCAAACCAATAAAATGAGCAAGTCGACTGCACTTGACAAGCCTTGCGGCAGTCGAGCTCACTTGACGGGAAAGGAATCATGGCCAAAACAGGCTGGAGGAAGCGCTGGTCACAGATCAGCGAGCCCCGTGCGATCTCAATGGCTTCAGGCACGAACTGGTTTTCGCCACCGGGCACTGACATGAAGCTCTCGTCCGTGACTGGCGGCTCAATGCCCCAGGACATGGGGAAGCAATCGCAGGCGTGCAAGGAGTAGTCATTGAGCGTGGTGGTGGTTGGATCATCCACGAGTAGAGCCTCTTGAACAAGGCCGTCATCCCCATCTTCGTCCGTCTCCGGAAGTGGGCAATGCTGGCTCTTCAACGTGAGCCTCAAGCCTTAATGAGCAGGCAAAGATGACCGTCTTTGTTCATCCGCCGCGGATTCGGCGTCTAGATTGAAGTATTACCTCTCCGCCAGGCCCGCGACACTTTTTTGTCCTAAATCGTCACGATGTTGGTGGGACCCGGGCGGATTTGGTGAGGGTAGTAGAGCGACTGGCAAAAGTTTTTGCATATCCATTTATCATGCTGGCGAGGGGTGCACGAAAATAGCGTGGAAGCCCAGACCCCCAACCTCGGCACGAGAAGGGCGGTCTGAGAATTAAAATAAAATTCTAGCCAGGGCGGCGTAGCATTGTTGCCCGACAGACTTTGGTGCGACCGGGCTGCGGCGCACGGCCAGAGTGCTGTGCATATCACAGACAAACCAAACAGTGGCTTAGCAACTTTCTGTGGCAAATTTGGTGATATTGGGCTGCGATGCTGCTAATTAAAGTGCTGCAAAAACACCACACCAGGACCAAAACCGAATAGGGGTTTAGCAACTTTGCGTATCAAAACTTGGCTCAAGCGGGCTGTGGCAGCGAACACCCTGCAAAAACCAAACGGTGGGTGTAACAATAACAACTTCGTGTGGCAAGATCTTGGCGCCTTCTGGCTGCGACCCTGCCAAGGTGCTGTGAATGTCGTGCCCTAAACCCTAAAAGCAGGGAGGGGATGAGGGCGGGGAGTCGGCGGGAGCAGGGCTTCATTAACCAGCCAAATCACGCACAAGCCACGGTCAGAGCCACATGGACAATGGACAATAACCGCATTTTCTAGCGTGGGTGCTCTTTCAGGGGGTATGAAGGAGAGAAACGGGGATTATCGGGCGGTATGTGGGTGTCACACACACCAAAATAGCACGCCTTGTTTTCGGCAGTACAGAAGCTTATTCCGCGATTATGAGCTTTTTCGAAGTTCTGAAAGGGTTTGGGGGATTATCGCATATGGGGGGGGGCGTTATGGACACCAAGAAGACATACACATGTATACTCGGCAGGGATATGGAAAGCTGTGCACACCAATTTACCGCAAAAGTGGGCGGCGGGATAAGTTTCGGCAGTGTGTGGGGCTATAAACGAGGGGTACAGAGAGGCTTGTCATGAAGCCAGGGAGTCGGGGTGACTGCCAGGAGGGCCGAGGCGGGTTCGCGTTGCATTAAAGTTGCAGTCTGATGCCCGAAATTGCCCGAACTATCCCGCCCCACAGCCAGTCGTTGTTTGCTCAAAGAGCCTATGCCCAAGTAGTCCGTCTCGTTCTGCCCAAAAAGGCTCACTTCTCCGCGCTCGAAGGTGGCTGGAACCACTTCTGCGCCGGACACACTGACGAGGCATGCGACGTGAGAGCCGAACAGCTCCATGTACTTGGAAGTCGCGTTCTCAAAATCCCATGTGGCATTACTCCTCCGGGCCTTAATAATTAGAATAGGGTTTTGGGGCCCATAAAGCTACATACTATACTTATAATAAGGAACCCTCAACATCCCATGTGGCACTACTCCTACCAGGCCAGTACCGACCCTGCCACAGAAATCCCGAGAGACCTCTTCAAGAGTTTTAGGGTTTAGGGTTGATAGGATTCAAAAGTTTTCGGGTTTAGGGTTGATAGGGTTCAGAGTTTAGGTGCAAGGTCCTGGTAAGAAGCAAATTGCCAGAGCCGCACGCGACCTCTGGATCCATCTCGGAAGCTTGCAGGTAGAACACGTCCAGCGCGCTGACAACCGGCTCCTCTTTGCGATACACCCAGCTGAGCTTGTCCGTGGCTGGCTCCACCCCAAATGCCACCGGGCAGAAGATGCCACTGTACCTAGTTCATGTTGGGATAGTATTAGAAATGTACATTTTTAGTCCTTACTGGTTTTAAGTACCCATAAAAATGTAAAATGCTACTGAACTGTGACAAAGGTACAGCCACACTGGCTCAGCAGCCGTCAGGTTGAGACACGTGTGTTCCATGCTGCAGTTCGCAACCTTCTCCACTGCCTCAACGTAGGGCTGACACTCGTCTTTCGGATGTGGGCCGCACGGTGCGAGGGAGACGCAGAGGCCCGGGGAGTAGCTGTAGACAGCGCAGCCTGGATCTCTCCTGGGTTCTTGTTAAGGGACTTCATTTAAGTTATCAGAATACGGAAACCTTATTACTCACTATAGATCCCAATTATGGTAACCTTGACAAGGTCCTCGTAATAAGGATCCTACTATTTAGGGTACTATTGTTAGGGTCCTCTATTTTCGGAATCTCCCAAAGAGCCCAGCCTTAATATTCACTATAGATCCCTATTATGGCAACTTAAACTAAATCCCTTAACAAGAACCCTAAACCCTAAATCCCTGAACAAGAGCCCAGTCTCCTGCAGTTCCGGCGGCACTCGCCATGGCCAAGGGAGCTCCCTCCGAGGCTTCGCGCGAGGCTCCAGCCATGGCCCGTGTCCAGTGCTCGCTTCCAGCAGGTGGAATCCTGCACCGAGATATGAAGTTCCTTTGAAAAGGGCCCTATAGTAGGGGCTTTTAGGGTTCCTTGTAAAGGGGGCCTTTAAGGGGCATTTAGGGTTCCGTTAAAAAGGGCCTATAGGGGTTTAGGGTGGAATCCTGCACGGAGATGTGAAAGCTTCCCTGAATGGGGATTTGCGGTATGCCCACTTGCCATTCGAAGTGGCCCAGGATGATGCAGGACACGTCCAAACGGCCTCGACGTGGAACTGCTTTGCCGGCGGTGCTCTCTACGTCGAAGATGTGAGACAGGTTGACCTCAGGCGAGACCTGCACGGCACCTGCTGGGTTCTTGTTAAGGGACTTAATTTAAGCCACCATGATACGGAAACCTTGTTATTCACTATAGACCCCTATTATGGTAACTTAAATCAAATCCTTAAACCCTAAACCCTAAATCCCTTAACAGGAACCCAGCCTGTTGCTGTGTTCAACTGGAAAACGACATAGCCTGCCACGGTCGCCAGGCCCGTCAGGTCGTCAAACTCAATCCTTGGCTAATGTGGATACCCTAAACTGGGCTCTTGTAAAGGAATTGTTTAAGTTACCCAAACAAGGAACCAGATTATTTACCATATAGATCCCGAATATGGGAACTTGAATCCCAGCAAATTACCCAAATAAGGAACCGTATTATTTACTATAGATCCCGAATATTCCGAAGAGTTGTGTTTTTCAATGGCATTCTCAGTCCTCCTGTTCAACCCGTCGACTGCGGTGTCATTAAGATTAGGAAGGCTCCTATATCTTCAGCAGCATGTCAAGCATTCTGTAGTTTCATATGTGATGGTCGTTGGAAGTGGGGGACTAAGCATATGCAAGATAGGACCTGCTGGGTTGCTCTTGCAGTTGAGTTTGTAGCGTCCTTTGGCCTGTTTCCAGGACTGTGTGATCAGGAAATGTCTGTAGGAATCCTTGTCCGTAGGTTCAAGGATGTGTTTCTTCAAATCATCGACAAGCATCATGTCAATGCTGATCACATAGTCGGCATTAGGCACATGAAGTCATTTGGGTTCGGAAATCAGTCCGGCCTCTCGTGTTCGAGGCAGTTTCGTCATCATGATAAGCTTTTGGCTTGGATTCTGAAGGTTTCCAGGGATATTTCCTGTTTAGACCGTACCGTCAAGATGAAGCCTCTTGCTTCCATAGTTCCATGCTGGGATGGCATAACCCGCGGCAATTGATGTCCCAATAACAGCGCGTTTCCTCCTTTTCCGTTTCCACCCTTCGGCTTGCACGCTGATACCAGTGAAGATTGGTCCAATTCGACTCGCAGGAGGCTCGTGAGGCCGATTGCAGTAATGCCCAAAAAAAACTATAGATCCAGAATATGGTAACTTGAATCCCAGTTAAATAAGTAAACCAACCCAATCCATGGCTTGGGATCCCCCAGCTCAGGGACCGGACCCGGGGTCAATAAGCGCGATGGTAAATCTGCTATGTACCCTACCATACTACGGTTGATGATATAAATCTTGCATTACCCAAAATACGAAATGCACCATAAGTTCGAATAGCTTAGGGTCCTTCAGGTAATGTAGAGTTTATATCATCAACAGTACGATGTGGTGTACTCCGGTATGCTCCAAATTCACCCACCAAAACCTACTTTACTGGAGGGTCCCAGCAAGCTCAATATCAGGTTTTATGTGACAGTTTATATCAGGACCCTACGTGCAGCAAAGTAGGTTCAGGTAGTACTATAGGGGCCTTAATCATTAGAACACTGCTTTGGGGTAAACGAAAAATAATGAGTAACACTTTAAATGGCATAGGTAATTCCTAAGTCCCCGATACGATGGAACCCTACTGTAAATGGCCCTGATTGGCCCCTTTTAAAGGAACCCTTTGAGGGAACCCTGGTCTAATTATAAGGGCCCTGTGTTGCAGGCTGGCAGCTCCATGGAGCCATTGGTGAAGTTGGAGCTGCAGGTGGCCGAGAAACGGGTTGGAGACACCTGCTTAGGGCTTTAGGGTTTAGAGTTTAGGGCTTTAGGGTTTCGGGTTTAGGCAGGCGAGCAAAATCGGCTCCCTCGTAAGGTTTAGGGCTTTAGGGTTTTTTTGAGGCTTTAGGGTTTAGGGGGTTTAGGGCTTTCGGGTTTTTGGCTTGGGGATCCCAAGATTCCCCCAGAATCTGGCAGAGTCAGCGCAGAAGTATTCCTGACCCTGGGTGACTGGGACCGCAAGGGCCCCACAGCAACTGGGAGTTTCGGGTCTGGTTTTCGGTGAGGGCCCACCTGGCCCGTGGTCAGAGGCTCCAGGGCCGGGCCAAGGGATGCACCCGGTGCCACAATCACGGAGGCCTGCGGATAGTGGATGGAGGTCCAGGTGTCCGGCACCAAGACCTTGATGTGACAGCTTCGTTGCGTTGTGGGGTTTGGGGTTTAGGGTTTAGGGTTTGGGATTTTCGTGCATTGTCAAGGCATCCCTGCGGCTCAGCAGATTTGGGTACAAGCCGCAGCCAGAGCCGTCACGTTCTTGCCCTGCTGGACGTGACCTGGGCTTTTAAGTTTAAGGTTACTTTAAGAAATCTATAAGGGTTACTTTGAGGGTACTATAGGGTTTAGGGTTTAGGACTCTTTTTCATAATGGTTCCCTAAAAAGAAAAATTAGGTACTCCAAAGCTCGGTGACAGAGGCTGCCGCTGGCCGCAGTGAGCCCCGGGAGCTGGAGGTCCGTGACTCCCGGGAGCCCTTCCTTCGCCTTAGAGGCTGAGTACCCTGGCCCCCAAAGAAGGATAACCTAATGAGTTATATTAGGATAACATATCGAATTATATTAGGATAACATAACGAATTATATTAGGATAACATAATCCCAAAAGGTTAAAGGTTACCTACTTAGCCCCTAAGTCGCCGTGGCGTTCACTGTGAGGCCGCCGTCGTCCCGAAGCCGCAGCCAAGCAGAGGACCCGGACACGAGCTCCGGCGCACAGCTGAGCTGGAGATCCCTGGGCGATATCTCTGCTGCAAACCGCGGAGTGAAGTCTGTCGCCGATTTAGCAGCCGTGGCGGCCCTGGCCACGAGCACCGAGTTCTCGTAGGCAAGGAATTTCGAGGCGGTGACGACGAGCTCTGCAGAGAAGTTCAGCCGGCCCTCGTAGGCGGTGATCCTGCACGACACCTCGAAGTCTTCCCTTAGTCTGGCCAGTTTTTGTCTATTCAGAATGCTTCGGACTGTCGCTGCTAAGCTGCATGGCTCCACCGCACCCGACGGACTCACAGCCAGGCTTCAAGCGCAGCTCACCTCAGCCATCGGGCAAAGAGCACGGAAGCCCAAGAGGTGCAAATGTGCCCTGGGCCACAGGCCTGTGCTGCCATCGATCGTAAGGTTGTACTCTAAGAGCTTGCAAGCGCTGTCCAAGGAGTAGCGCGAAGCCGTTCGCGGCAGCGGATGGCCGTTCACGACACCTCGGGCCGCAGCGAACTCCCATTTGACTATGTAGTAGGGCCTTTAAAACGGGTCCCAAACCACCTAACTCTGGGGTCCTTTCTGGGCCCAAATCGGGCATGACCAAGGGATTCTGCTGATTCTCAGCAAAAGCCGCGTTCACCCAAAACCATGGGCTCCGAGTAGTAGGCAAATGCTGTTGCCGTGCGCAAGCCGCCCGAGCAGCCGCAGCATGCCATCGCCGAAGAGACGCCGTGGAAGCCTCGGCTGCTTTCAGGGTCGGGTAAATAAAAATTCCTAGGGCAGTTGGTTAGAATAACTAGGGTTTGGTTGCGGTTTGGTTTAGAATAGGGTTTAGGGTGTGGAAATCCGGTAGAAAGCCCATAAAACCTAGCATGCTTCGCTACTCTCAATCTCCACATTTTCGCCGAGCAGCGACCCGTGCTGCAAGCTCCTGCCTCCACAACGGCATGGCAATTTCTACCCTGCAGGTCCTGCCACGCAGGGAGGTCCATGCAAGCGCTGCAATGCCCATCCTTCAAGATCCAGCCGCCACGGCACCTGGTTTAAAGCTTTTGGGGTTTATGGTTTGGGCCTTGCGGTTTTGGATTTAGGAGTTTTTGAACTCCAGGCTCATGCCCCCTCGAATCGCCATGCTTTCTCGACTAGACTGATGGCCTTGAAACAGAGCTTTGAGAAGATAATGTATGCTCAACTGCGCCGCAGCAATATGAGAACTTCTCAAAACACCATCAAAACACCTCTCCTTCTGACTGGCATAATCTGAGACCACACAAGCCCCTACGATCGCTGGTGGCACCTGCCGCATGCTTGTGCGTCGCCATCAGCTTCCGCACAGCCGCGACACCAGGTTGCGTTCGCAGGGCAGCAAAATCCAGCGAGTGAGCCGTTGGGCAACGGATGCCACACGGCGGTCCCAACGCCTCTTTCGCAGAACTCCTCCGCCTTCTGCACCTGGGGGTTTCCGAAATAGGGGGCCCCAATACGTACAGTACCCTAAACAGTAAGATCCTGCTTATAAGGACCCCAAAATACAGTAGCCCTATTTTCGGAAACCCCCACCTTGCTGCGAACTCGGGACGGAACTGAATGCAGCCTCTGTAGGATCTGGTTAGCCTGGCACGTCTCGAAGAAGCTGTCTGCCTCCTTCCCACTCAACTTGGGGAGAACTCGGGTCCTCCTTACAGCCATGCCCGACTCAGACGTGTGGCTCGAACTGCCACGGGTCAGACTATGCGCCCAGGCCAGCCAAACAATGCTTGGAACCCACATCTTGGCAGCTTTCTGCAAGAGCTTTGTTGCAGAGTTTGAGCCAACAGCTGAAAGGGTTTGAAAAATTAGAGTTTGTAGTTGAGGGTGTGTGCTTGGGGCTCAGATATCGAGCTTTGGTTTGCCGGTTCGCAAATAAACATTTGGGCATCAACGTTGGGGCATAGATTTGGGGCTCAAACTGGTACCCTACAGAGTATAAATTCAATCAAGTAACGTAAGCCTAAGTGTAGCCAACATCTGAAACCATGAACACTGAAGTTCGACAGGCTGAACTCCACCGCTTCCCCGTCAATAAAAAAGCTGAAACAAGCTTGGAGGTGCACACCCGAATTCTTGACGAGAGGAGAGGTCGAGTTTAGCTTCCAGCCCGCGACTCGGAACAAGCCTTTCGATTTCCTAAATCTATGCCCGTGTCGGAGTTCGAGGCAGCTGTGGTGGACCAAGCAATCGTGCTCCAGCAAGCCTCTGGGAAAAGCGCCATTGCGACACTCCGCACCGGGAAGCCCAAAACTCTCTACCCTATGCCCTCAAAGAACTGACAAGCTTGAGAAACCCCCTGCAAACGTCTCATAGCTTCAGAACACACTCAAACTGGCTAATGTTAAGAACGCAACTGTCGAAACTTATCGGGTTTGGCGCTGAGATCCAAACGAGTTGCTGGTACATCGCTGCAAATTTAGCTCGAAGAAGCCCAGGTTGTAAAACTAAGTAATGTTGAGCCGAAACCCATATATTGCAAAGAGTGTGGTTCTACATCTTGACGGGCTATCGGGATCGGTCGAGCGCCAGCAGTAGACTAAAGACAAGCCCAACCTGACGAAGAGCATGTGCCAGTGTGAGCCACACACAATGATCGCAATGATACCACAAGGATACCTATAACAGTCATGCTTTTGATAGCGAAAAACGGAAGAGGCAATTTCCATGGTAATTGTCATGCTGGTGGTAATGACGACTATGAGAAAGAGGATGACGATGATAATGATGATGATAATGACAATAACAATGACGATAATGACTTTGGCGATGATAATGACAGCAACGACACCGGTAGTGGTAATGTCAATGATTGGCACCGTCATAACCGCGATCATAATCAGAAACATATAATCCTTAAACGAATCATCACCATCATCCTCATCATTACGACCATCACAACCATATTCATAGTCATAAGCATTCTTTCAAACTCATGAGCACAAATATTCATAAACGTCGTCATAAACACATAAATACAATCGGAAATAACGACAAAAAATAGGAATAAGAATCATGACCACAGTCATCATGACATAATGATGACGACAATGCTTATGACGGTTATGATAGTCGCATTTTTGAGAATCATAGCCGATGGTGATGATGGTGATAATGACAATGAAAACGCTGTTCATGATGGTCATGATGTGAGGACCTGGCTCGGAGCATCTTTGGAAACGTCACGACACGCGACGAATACACTGCTAAACAAGGAGGAATCACATGCAAGCAACTGGACTGCTTCTCAGCTTTGCAATCATGCGGACGACGGCATACTGTTAGACTGAACCTGGATTGAACTGCTGTTGTCCTTCTCCAGAAGCTCAAGCGCTGGATTTTGTCCATTGAAAGCTCTGTTTGCTCTGACGTCTAATTAACTTTCTTCGCTTTTGCCCTCCGACAAGAAGATGTCTGGAAAAGATATGTTGTTTTGTTCTCACCTTCCTACCCATCGTACCTGGCTCTTCTTCTCCATGCTTCACGTAGTTTCCTACTGTGACTGTCTGCTCAGCACGTTGAGTTCTGCGGAGTTCTATAGTTTCTTGTCCGAGTTGCGGCAACCGCCGCCCAGGCACTGCTACAGCGACGACGAGGGCACATAATATCTGCATTTGGGATCTGCGTTTTGGGATGTAGCCGGGTCGGAGAGTCTAGGATTTTGGATGCTGTTTTGAGACATCAGAAGCCGCAGCAAGGAGGCCACGAATAACATGTTGATGGCGATTGATCACTTACGGACCTGTTTCTAACCCGGCTCTGGGTCGCCTGATCAGAGGCAAAGCGCTCACCACCGTTATTTTAAATTTCCTGCGGCATCGCATCATAAGCAGAGCGCGTTGCCGGTCGCCCCTGGCTGAACCCCGGCTACAGGCCTTTCCACACACAATTGGCATGGACTCACTCGGAAACTAAATCACTGCTACAATGCGCATTCACTTTTTCTTCACGTCGCTTTTCGCGATGTAGTCCATTCTTGCACTTCGGCAATCTGGAAACTTCTGTCGGACTTTCTTTCACCAGTCCATTCTTGGCTTTTCAGCCTTGTAGACATTGACTTTTGAAACATTCGTGGTGCTCGTAGTGCTTTGACGTTGCCGTGGGACTTTCGTCCACGTGGCTTTTGCTTTTGTCGTTGCCGTGGGATCTTTCCATCCTCGTGGCTTTTCTCTCAAGCTTCTAAAGCTTTCTTGGTGAAACGTTTTGCCTTGGCCACTTTCGCCCTCACGCTTGTTGCTGGGCTGATTTCCAACCCTCACTTCTTTTCTGCTGGGCGTCAGCAACGCCCTCACGGTTCCTTTGCTCTTGCTTTAAACCGTTGTTACATGTCACCTAGCCCCAAGGGCCCTTGGGTTGCTGCTTCTGTGCTATCCGGCGTTCCCGGACTAGCGGGTCTTGTCATTGTAGCACTTACGGCTTGGACTCGACGCCTGAGCCTTGACCTGTCTTCATCACTATTGTCGCTACGTGATCTGAACCTTAATCCATCACTTGTGTGTCCTCGCTGACGAAGTCTTGACCTTTCTTCGATCAATGTATCAAGACCTTGATCTTCCTCTTGTTGCAACTCTTCAAGTAGTGTCGGGCCAAGTTCTTCGGCTGCTTGTCGGCTTCCTGCGAGGTATGCCTCGTAAGTTAGGCGTGCTGCCCCTTCTAGCTCTTGCTGGCCCATAGTGTCCAGTGCATTCCTTCTTTCAGCAAACGTCATGCTATCCCACTGTTCTGCCGTAATTTCATCCGGCCTTTCATATAACACATTTCTCACTGGCTGTTGAGTTTCTTCTTCTTCGTGGTACTCTTGTTCTCCTTCACTCTCGTTGGTGTCGTACCACTGCCGCCAAACACTTTCCGTGTGATCGCGAATGCACTCCACGCAACTATGATTTGTGTGGTTCCTTTTGTTGCGCGCGCAACGGCTTTCATTGCACCAAGTGCACATTGCGGTGCACACTTCTGTATTCTGCCGTCTTGTCGAACTTGAAGGTCTTTCACCGCGGCTTTCTCTGTCCTCTGGGTGGCATACCCAGCATGACCTGCATCCTTTATCTCTTGCAGTTTCGATAGACATTTCTTGTGTAGCCGGCGGTGGGCTCCACCATTTGCAAGACCGTTTATGATACACATGTCTTGTGGGGTAAACGTAGACTGGCTCACCAGTCTTCTTGAATTTCAACTTGTTGTACAAGCTCTTACACCCCTTCATCACTTGTTGGATGAGGAAGATTACTCCCATAACACTTAACGTGGTCATCAGGATGTCCATCGCTTCCTCCATCCTTCTGCTTGTGTCTTCAACTCCTTGGTTCCCTTCGCTGTGGGCCGAAATGCCTGCGGTTGCGGTTATTCCATGGATGCACAACATCCATACAACGGTACCCACATAAGCTCCTGAACCTTTCTTGTTCATCATTCTTCCTTTTTCTTTTCTTTCTTTTGGCTTTTCTTTTTCTTCTTCCATTGCCCTCTCTTCTTCCTGAGGCTTCTCTTCTTCCTGAAGCTTCTCTTCTTCTTGAGGTTTCTCTTCTTCTGCCTTCTCCGAAACTCTATCCGCTTCTGCTCGTACCTCTGCTCTTCTTTCCTTGGCTGCTGCCTTCATCTCTTCCAGCTGCTGCAGCTTTTCATCCATGATCTCTCCTTGTTCTCTTATCTTTTCCTGGATGTCTTCAGGTATCCGAACAGTTCTTTGCTCCAACGCTGCGAAGTTAGCTTCCTTCGACTTCTTCAACCTTTCAGCCTCTTCTGCCAATTCTTCTGCAGTTTTCTTGAACGTCTCCAAATCTTCTTCCTTCTTGTCTTCAGGAGCTTCTTCTTCATCGTCCTTTTCTGCTGACTCGCTTTCTTTGGACTCATCGGACTCTGGATCCGACGCTGCTTCACTTTCTTCCTTTTTCTCTGACTGCTCTTCTTTCTTCTTGTCAACTGACCTGACTTCATACTGCTGATTAAGAGCTTGCACCTCCTTCCAGAGGTCGTCAGCAATTGGCCTTTTCGACCGTTCTGTTTTGAGCACTTTTTCGAGGTAAGTGGTAGCCTCGATGCTTCTGCTGCACTCCATGATCATATACTTGACTGCTTCATCGTCTGCCATTGCTCTTGTCCTATCTTCTTCTTTTTCTTCTTCTTTCAGGACTTCTTTCTTGAGCAAAATGGCTGCGCTTGCAACTTTATGCATAATCGCTGATATGAACATGCACAACAGTATGCAGACTACACTCGCTCTTCCCAGTCCTTGTTCACCTTCTTCACCGAATCTTCTTGCTTCAGCCAACGATAACAACACTGCGGTCGTAACCGTCTGGATAATCCTTGTAATCATCCTTTCATCGAATCTTGGAACACTTCTTGCTCTTGTCCTTCTCACTTCAGCTCCTTGTACTTCTTGATCACTTGGTGTCAAAAATTCACCTGTGTATCCTAAGCCTAGCATGTACTTGCGTATCTTCTCTCGTGTCAGGGATTTGGTCCCCAAGTCTGAGGGATTGTCCTTACCTGCTATCGCCTTTATGATAAGCTTCGGAATTCTTTGGATCCATAAAAGGTCTACTTGTAAATGGCGTGCTCTTCCTAAGCCTTTTCTTGAGATCAACTGTCTTGAGCTTGACGAATCACTGTATAACATCAGTCTTGGCTCAACTCCTAGGATTCTTGTCAGTAATCCTTTCAGGAATACACCTTTGCTTAAGATTGATGTCGCTGCGATTGTCTCAGCTTCGCAAGATGACAATGCTACGCTTTTCTGCCTC